GAGGGAGGGAGGGAGGGAGTCTAAATCCCTCCCTGAAGGCCTAAGTCTGTTAAAACCAGGGAATCTCCTGGAGACCACAGACCAGCCAAAGAGGCAGAGGGTGTGACCTTCTCTGTCCCTCTCTCTGCAGAAGCCAGGTGGTCTGCAGTCGCATTCTGAGAGCTCCCTGGCAGACCACGGACCCCTTCTCCCTGAGCAGTCCCCACATCCCTGGAGGCGCACCCTCCCCCACAACTTTTCTAGACAGCTGCTTCAGGACAGAGGACAGACATGGCTCCCCTTTGGGCCTCCTCAGTAGGTGGTGAGTCAGTACTTGGGGAGGATAGCTTGAGGCATCATCCAGAGACCTTCACACACACCTGGGTGTCCTTCTCAGTAAAGGCAGATGGAACAAACCACAGGTGAACAAACCTGGGAGGACCTCACTTTGCAAGGATGGAAAAGAGGCATCATTCCGCATGCCAACTCCAATCCATTGGTCTGAGCTGCCTAGAGCGTGGCATTGGAAAGGATGTTAAGGTCACAGCTAAACTCAGCAGAAAAGCGCACCATGACTGATTGGTGATGTCTGCTGTGGGTGCAGGAGGGAGGAAGAGCAGCAAGTGAAAACTTGCCTTTACCAATTCAGCCCAATTCCCTCCCAGTGAAGATAAGGAAACAAAGCCAGAGAGACAGTGACTAGGCCAAGGTCGAGTGTTAGGACCCAGGCTTCCTGACCCCCGTGCAGTGTTTCGTTCCTAACCCTGGCATCCTCTAACTCTCCTCCACAGGAAACACACCTGGCTGCTTTCCAGAGTTCTGCTGCACGGGGGCCTCCTCTGCATCCCAATTTTCCCTGTCCCCTTAACAAGTCTACCCTCCTACCCCAAAGAAGAGGAGCAAATGTGGGGCTTACTTCCTCTCAGGGACACACTGGCTCCCTCCTGAGGGTCCCCAAGAATTCAATGCTCAGTACTTGGCATCCTCTAAGACCATAACGACATGTTCTAGGATAGCCCTGCTGGCTCCCATGCCCTCGTTTTTCTTCCTAAAGAAAGTGGACGCTAGCAGACATTGGCCTTCTGAGCTTTGCACCTGGGCCCTGGGCCCTGATCCAAAGCTGCTGTTGTCTCAAGGATCGTTTGGTGAGAACAGATGTTTAAACCTCTTTGTTGATTATTGTCTGGCTAATAAATCATCCCAACAACCTTCCTCCACAGGGATCCAAATCTTCCCAGTGCCAACAACCTCAATCTCTCCCCCCATCACCCACTGTGGTTCAGAGGGGTCTAGGAGTTCAAAGACACTTGGGCAAGGGTTATAGATCTGTCAGCTGAACGCTGGGAGATACCAGGGGAACAGGCTCCTTCCTTAGGCTGAGGTATACTGAATGGGCAAGCCAGGTAGGTGCACAGGAGTGACTGTCATTCAGAGGTGCCTATAAAGAAAGAGTGCCGATGGCAAGGAGCAGCCAAGCACAAGACTTGGGAGGAAGGTGCCTTATGAGTTTATGAGTGAGCCCCCAGAGGAGACAGACTCCTGAATGGCTCCCTGACACTCTTGGGCCTTATTACCCTCCTGGGCTTGGGTCCTTGCTTCACTCAGGAACCCAACTCCTCTCCTGCCCTCCTCTGATATTTCCTCCATTCTCTGTCCAGACTCACTTCAGGACTGGCTTCCAGTCCCCCAGAACAAAGCCCTACTGGGGGGGATGCGTCTGGCCAGGGAAAATTCTTCCCTGGGTCCTACTTTGGTCTCACACTGGAGGCTTTTTGAAGCCTGAGGCTTTCTACAGCTACCTGTGCATGGCCCTACCTGCTCCAGGCAGAGCCCACCTGTCTTCAGAGTTCTGCTAAACCTCAGATTTCTGCACCACCAGCTCTCCACCCTACTAGCACCCTGGTCCTGCCAGGGCTAATTCAAGGCAACCTGTGCCTCTCAAGTTCTGCTTTCTGCCAAGGGGCTCTGGTCCTGCCTGAGGCACAGCAGTTCCTGATTCTTGCCTCCAGCCATGTTCCAGACACCTGGGTGCTGCCACTACTGCACCTCCCCCAGCAGAGCCAGAGCCAGCTCCAGTGACTAGCCAGTTCTCTCCTTTCCACTCCAGCACTAATCAGCTTGAAAACTGTGGATGAGTCAACAGTAGGGCTCCACCTTCTCTGTCTGAAGATCTAAAACCCTCCTGAGCATGTGGAAGAGGGGGATGGGGAGCAGATTACCTTAATGAAATCAGAGAGGAGGGAGGCTCAAAGCACAAGAAAGGTCTTGCAGGAGACTTGGGTATTCACCGGTGGACTCCAGTGGCAAAGGGGAGGAAACAGCAAAGAATGACTTACAGTGTAGCTGGAGATGGGATCAGAAAGTCAGAAATCAGGCATCCAGATAGAACAGAGTGGATGGGCATGCCTCCTTGGGGCACTGGGCTGCTGAGCGGTTCGGCCTTTGGCAAGGTGACCCCCACAGACCATGTGAAATAGGGCATTGTACAGATGTCACTCATGTGACCAGCAGATTTGCTGGGGCCTAAAGGGACTTTGGAGATCCTTTGTGATTGATTCTTGGCTCAGCTAAAGCAAAGTATGGGGCTGCAAGTGGAGGTGATAGGGAGCTGGAGATAATAAGACAGAGCCCTACCCTGTTATCCCACTGTCTTGGTACCAAAGGGTCCCTCACAAGTGGAAGGATAAGGTTCCTGCTCTGCCAAGGCTCACAGAAGTAGCCCAGCCATGAAGACCAAGGTAAGGTAGTTGGGATGTCGCTCAGAGGTAGAGCACTTGCCTTGTACCCATGAGGCTCTGGGTTCACAATCTGAGGCCTGGGGATAGGAAAAGGAAGTTATGCTGAGCAAGTTCCCCTCCTTCCCTAGCCAGACTCCTGATGTGGGAGGAGGTGGCTATTCTATTTGTGTTGGCTAGTGTCACCTTGACAGAATCTAAAATTACTCAAAGACAAGCCTGGGGCACACCTGTGGGAGTGTATCTAGATTAAGGTTAGCCTCTGAGCATGTCTGTGAGGAATTACCATTAACTGATGTAGGCAGATGGCCAGTTGGTCCTTGACTGGGATCCTGGACCATGTAGAGAAGCTGAACAACAGTCACTCATTGCTTTTTGCTTCCTGACTGTGGATCTTCTGTGCATCAACTGCTTCAAGCTGCCTCTTTGACTTCCCCACAGTGATGGAACCTTGACCTGTGAGCCAGAATAAGTCCTTCTTCCCTTAACTTGCTTTTGTCAGGGTATTTTTTCACAGCAACAGGAAAAGACACCATCCATTCTGTCCTGCCTCCTCAGAGCACTCTGGCCCAGCCTGGGCTCATATCTGCCAGCTGTCAGCTCGCAAATGGAAAGCAGAGTGCATCTGTGGCTCCCATTGCAGCCTCCAACTGTCCTCCAGATCCAGTCCTAGGCCATGGCGACTGACCCTCATGGCTCTGCTGTTCTCCTGCTCCCTCTGCTAATGTAACAGACAGTTTGGGCTGGGGAACTAGAAAGCTGTGAACTCCCCAAAGCCTAGCATCTCCAGGACCGATCACATCACTCCACAGATGCACCCAAGAAAGGCCGTGGGCTAGTCACCCTTAACTACCTCTGTCTCTACCAGTCTTCCACTGAAAGCAAGCTGGACAGTTTTCCAGAATCCGGCCACCTTCCTGGGCCTCATGCTACCTTAGCCAGCCCAACAGCCCTATGAAGAGCCAGCAGGAACCTTCCTCAGGGCTGGCTGCATTGGGAGGTCGAAACATCCTCATGAGTTCTCCATCTTTGTTCAGAATTGAGTCAAATTTTCAAAGACAGCCTGCTTAGCTCCTTTGTCCTGGTCAACACAGCTGTACACCGGAGATTTGCCCTGGTCCCTCCAAACATCTTTCAGGGTTAATTTGGTATTTTGTCTTGAGGCAGGCTCTTAGTCTGAAGCCCAGGCTGAGCCTGAACTCATAAACCCCCTGCCTCTGCTCCCAAGTGCTAGGATACAGATGTGTATCACCACATCCAGGGACCCATTTGTGATCAAGGCCCTTATCACTTCCTTCTGCCACTCGATGCCCCTAAAATGCCAATGTTAATCAAGTTAGCTATTGCTCCTCTCACTCATCCATCCATCTCTGCATTCTCACCTCCAGAAGTGCTCATTTTTTCCTTCTTTCTCAATTTCCCCTCCTTTTTTTCCCCTTTGAGACAAGAGTCTCACTATGACTATGTAGCCCTAGCTGGCCTTCAACTCATTATGTACACCAAGCTGGCTTCAAACTCAGAGATCTGCCTGCCTCTGCCTCTGCGTGCTAGGATTAAAGGCAAAACCATCAAATCTCCCTTTCAGTTTTTGAGATAAGGTCTCACACTGGAGCCCAGGCTGGCCTCACTCATGGTAATCTTCCTGCCTCAGCCTTCCAAATGTTAGAATTGGCAGAACCAACACACCTGGCCCTTCCTTCCTTCCTTCCTTCCTTCCTTCCTTCTTTCCTTCCTTCATCCTTCCTTCCTTCCTCCCTCCCTCCCTCCCTCCCTCCCTTTTTTTGGGTCTTTTTGAGACAGAGTCTCCCTGTAGCCCCAGCTGGCCTTGAACTCACAGAGATCCCCATGCCTCTGCTTCCTGAGTCCTGGGCTTAAAGGTGTGCACCACCACACCTGGCATGGCTATTTTCTAACCTCTTTGGTAGGACTAAAAAGTGGCTTTAAAAACGATGATGTGGGAGCTGGGGAGACAGCTCAGCTGTTAAGAGCACTGGCTGCTCTTGCAGAGGACCTAGGTTCGGTTCCCAGCATCCACATGGCCGCTAACAACTGTCCATAACTCCAGTTCCAGGGGATCTGATGCCTCTTCTGGCCTGAGGGCACTGTACAGCACTTATACATATGCAGGCAATACACTCATACACTTAGAATAAAAATAATATCTTAAATTTTTTTTTTTAATGTGATGTAGAGGGGCTGGAGAGATGGCTCAGCGGTTGAGAGCACTGACTGCTTTTACGGAGGACCTGGGTTCGATTCCAGCACCCACATGGCAGCTACGAACCGTCCTTAACTCCAGTTCCAGGGGAATCCGAAGCCCTCTCTGAACTCCGAAGCTTTGCACAACACGGGTGCACTCACATACATTCAGGCAATACATTCAACACATAAAAATAATAAATAAAATACTTAAAAATAAAATATGATGTAGGCTGATGAAATGGCTCAGTGGTTAAAGAGCACTGGCTGCTCTTACAGAAGACCCAGGTTTGAATCCAAGCACCCACATAGTGGCTAGCAACCATTCAGAACTCCAAGAGCATTGCAGGACATGGGTGCACTTACATACATGCAGGTAATATACTCATACACATAAAATAAAAACAAAACTTTTTAAAAAATGTGACTGGGCTGGGTGTGGTGGCACCTTTAAGTCCAACACTCGGGAGGCAGAGGCAGGCGGATCTCTGTTAGTTCAAGGGCAGCCTGGTCTACACAGGGAGTTCCTGGTCTAAATAAGGAGACCCAGACCCCAAAAGACCAAAAAAAAAAAAAAAAAAAAAAAAAGCCTGGTGGCACACACCTTTAAGCCCAGCACTTGGGAGGCAGAGGAATGGGAATCTCTTTGAGTTCAAGGCCAGCCTGGTCTACACAGTGAGTTCCACGCCAGCTGGGGCTACAGAGAGACCCTGTCTCAAAAAGACCAAAAACTAAATAAATAAAATGTGACTAGAGTCAGGCATGGTGGTGCATGTCTGTGATACCAACACTTGGGAAGTGGAGGTAGGAAGATCAGGAGTTGGAGGTCAGTCTCAGCTACATAGTGAGTTCAAGACCAACCTGAGCTACATGAAACCATCTCAAAACATAGAAAGTGTAGGAAGACTCCTAGCCACTTCCTCCTACATCATGCTACAGCCTGAATGCAGTGATGGCAACTCAGGTGGAAGGGCTGTATCTGCAGCATACAGGACCCAGGAAAGCTCACACTTCTGGATGCTGCTGAGCCATCCTACCACCTAAGACACTCCTGGCCCACAGTCTCTGTGGACAGTGGGAGTGGTTGGAGCAGACACTCCTACTGAAGCCTGGCTGGATGCGCAGATTTGGACAACTACAGCCTAAGTGTCCCTGTGGGATGCAGGAGCCCTGTCTGGCTCCAACCCGAAGTAGGTCAGAT